AGCTGGTGGTGCTGCTCGTGCTGGAGGTGCTACTAGAGGTGCTGGCACTGGAGGTGCTGGTGCTGCTGGTGCTGGAGGCGCTGGAGCTGGAGGTACTGGAGCTGCTGGGGCTGCTGGTCCTGGAGGTGCTCGTACTAGAGGTGCTGGAGCTATCGGAGCAGGTGGTGCTGCTGGTGCTGGAGGTGCTACTGGAGGTGCTGGAGGTACTGCTGGTGCTGGAGGCGCTGGAGCTGGAGGTACTGGAGGTACTGGAGGTGCTGGAGCTGCTGGTCCTGGAGGTGCTCGTACTAGAGGTGCTGGAGCTGCCGGAGCAGGTGGTGCTGCTGGTGCTGGAGGTGCTAGAGGTGCTACTGGAGCTGCGGGCACTGGATATGCTGGAGGTACTGCTGGTGGTAGAGGTGCTGGCGCTTCCGGAGCTCGTGGTGCTGCTGGTCCTGGAGGTGCTGGAGGTGCTACTGGAGCTGCTGGTGCTGGAGGAGCTGGAGCTGCTGGTACTGCCCCGCGCCGACTAATTTTCCACCCGCAGCCGCAGTCGTCCCTGCCGCCGCCTGACTCAGTCCTTCGCCAGGTTCTTCGTCTCCCGTCTTCCACTGGCCTCACTCCACCTCTTCTGTGTCCACCGACAGACCAGTCTCCGTCACACTGAGGTGACTGAGTCCCTGACTGAGCGTCATGAGCCTGAGACTCGTGCTTCCACACCTGTTCGTGCTCGTCGTGTCGCCCGTCCTCGTCCTTCTGCTGTCCCAGGCACTCACGGTATGGCACTTCGTCCTTCCTCTGTTCCACAGCGTGTTGTCCTGCCTGAGACTCCCGCGTCCTCTCTTCCGCACTTTCCTGACCCTGAGTCCGACCTTGCTCGTGCTGCCAGTCCTACTGTCACTCGTCTCGTCGCTACTGTCGTCACTGACCCTGACTTTGAGTCTACTGCAGCGTTTGCCCTAGTCACTGAGCTAGTCGACTTTGCAGCTAGGAGTCGTCTCGACTACGTCACGAGTCTTGTTACTGAGTCTGAGTCTGTCTGTCCTCCGTCCGTCGGGGGTGAGCCTGCCCTTAGCAGTGACGTCCTTGAGGACTTGCAGTTTGAGCTTGAGTGTCTTGCGGCCGCTTTACCTCGTTTCGCATCCATGCTTCTTTGCCCTGAGGGAGACCCAGATGAACTTGGCATCCCTACCCCGCGCTCTTACGCTGAGGCAATAGCAGGTGAGTACTCCTCTGAGTGGCAGACAGCCATGGACGCAGAGATGGCTCCCTGGAAGTCCACAAGCACCTACGTCGACGAGGTTCCTCCTCCTGGGGCGAACACAGTCGATGGCATGTGGATTTTCAGAGTGAAGCGGCCGGGTTCTCCGCCTGCTTTCAAGGCGCGTTACGTTGCTCGAGGCTTCAGTCAGCGACACGGGGTCGACTTCTTCCAGACCTTCTCCCCCACCCCGAAGATGACTACTCTTCGGGTGCTGCTGCACGTTGCAGCACAGCGTGACTACGAGCTACACTCCCTCGACTTCTCCACATCATTCTTGCAGGGCAGACGAGGAGATCTAGCTGCGCTGCCCACCTAGCTTCACTGGGTCGTTTCCTGCGGGTACCCAGTGGAGCCTCCGGCGGCCAGTCTACAGTCTTCGCCAGGCGCCCCGAGAGTGGCACGATACACTGAGGACTACACTTGCGGCTCTTGGGTTTGCTTCTTCCTCTGCTGACCCGTCGCTGTTTCTACGCACCGACACTACCCTGCCGCCGTTCTACGTTCTCGTGTACGTCGACGACTTGGTTTTTGCTACTGCTGACACTGAGGCGCTGGCCCTACTGAAGGCGGAGCTGCAGGAGAGACACACCTGCACTGACCTGGGTGAGCTGCGTAGCTATCTTGGATTGCAGATCACCCGGGACAGAGCACAGCGCGCCATCACCCTGACTCAGTCACACATGGTGCACCAGGTCCTTCGGCGCTTCGGCTTCCAGTACTCCTCGCCACAGCCCACTCCTCTGTCTACCGGCCACTCGCTCTCAGCTCCACCTTCGAACGAGTCCGTAGAGCCGAGTGGTCCGTACCCAGAGCTTGTGGGTTTCCTCATGTACCTGATGACGTGCACACGACCTGACCTCGCGTACCCTCTCAGCCTCCTGGCTCGCTACGTGGCTCCCGGTAGACACCGAAAGGTGCACTTTGATGCTGCGAAGAGGGTACTGCGTTACTTGTGCAGTACATCGGGCATGGGGCTCGTGCTTGGAGGACAGGGTTCAGTGGTACTCACAGGACACTCCGACGATTCTTGGGCCGACGACCAGGCGACTCAGCGTTCGTCACAGGGTTACACCTTCAGTCTTGGCTCTGGTTCTGTCTCGTGGAGGTCCACTCGTTCTTCTTCCGTGCTTGGTTCCAGCTGTGAGGCCGAGATCTACGCTGGGGCCATGGCTGCACAGGAGCTACGCTGGCTGACCTACCTGCTGACTGCCTTGGGGGAGCGGCCTCGTTCTCCTCCAGTTCTGTACGTCGACAACAAGGCCATGCTTGCCTTGTGTCGGGAGAAGAGACTGGAGCACAGAACGAAGCACATTGCTCTTCGCTACTTTCTTGCTCGAGAGCTGCAGCAGCGTGGTCAGCTTCATCTTTCTTACGTGGCTTCTCGGGCCAACACTGCTGATGTCTTCACCAAGGCCCTTGGGTCTGGTGATCTTTAGCGTTTTTGCACTGCTCTTGGGCTTCTGCCCGTTCTACCTCACCTGCTTGTCTCTTGATCTTGCACTTGTTGTACACTGATATCTATATTTATACTTGCATGTTTCCTCTTGCTAGGTTGTGATCAGTGTACTGCCCTGCTATTATAACTCTGCATGTGAACTGGCCTTGTGGCCGCTTGCTTGTGCTCGGATTGTGTGGTGTCCTTGAGATCCACCCTGAGCTTTGCTTTGCTTTGCTCTGTTGTCTTGCTTGACTGGTCTTGTGACCGTCTTGTTGTCCCCCACTTTGCCTTTGGGGGTGTGTCAAAGTACAACCTTACTTGTAGGCGATAGTGGGGCACTCCTTATGGGGTACAGCACTTCTAGGGTTTGTACTTGTACCCCAACTCTTGCTAATCCGATCATTCTTGCACAGTGGTTCTGACACCGTAGTAAGTAAGGTATCTCGTGTGAATTCAGGTTTTCTTCTTTCAAGAGTCAACAGCAGCACCCGCTGTTGACTCGAAACACCGACCTTGTTTAATCACGGAAGGGCCAACACAAGTGCACTGCTTTGTTTCAGGTGATATTTATAATTCCAGCTACAGTAGAGCAGTAAGGGTACATTCCTGCTTGGACATTTGTGTCTCAATCCCCCTTTTCCCGAGTCGCGCCTGTAAATCTGCAAATCCTCGCGTCACAAACAGCTGATGTATCTCGACTTTGTGCGACTGATTTGGAGGTACAGTTGGACAATTTCTATTGGCTCGCACTTTGTGGATCGCGCTTTTGTGATTTGGCGCCGGGCAAGGTTGTAAAATTGAAGCACATGAAACCAACACACCAACTCAGGGCTGTATGTCAGGATCAGCACACACACATGTTTACAGCAGCAGCACAGGTACAAATACGCACGGCATTCCTATCACATACACGCACGGCATTCCTATCACAACGGCATTCCTATCATGGCATTCCTATCACGGCACGGCATTCCTATCACGGCATTCCTATAACGGCATTCCTATCACGGCATTCCTATCACGGCATTCCTATCACAGCATTCCTATCAAATACGCATGGCATTCCTATCACAACCATGGCAGAGCCTCGTGCTGTGCCATTCCTCTTGCGTCTCCTAGTCGCTTGGATAACGTTCTACTACACGATTTTCCTGGATGTTGTCGCCAAGGCGGTTGGCGGCCTGCTTGATGCCGAAGTCTTCATCGATGAGGAATCCACTGCGTCCACCTCACAGGGCTCCGACAGGTTTGCAGAGAGGACTAGACGGGCGAGCCTTCGCCGCCGCAGATACGAGCTTTTGCTCGAGGACCTGCATGGCATGGGAGAGACAGCGTTTAGAGACCTCTTCCGCATAAACCGCAAAATACTCGAGCACATCGTTGCCGGCATGGAGTACTACATGGTGCCGTACGTAGAACGGTACTTCATCACACACGAAGTGGCGAACCTGGTATCTATAAAATACTTGGCAAGTGGACTGTCGTACGTGGACCTTGCTCACCTTTTTGGCCTGTCGAAGACATTGTGTCACGCTCTCGTGGACGTCTGGTTGATGCATTTCCCGTCCGTGTTCAAGCAGCAGTGGGTCCATTTCCCGACCCGTGATGACCTGAAGGAGATGGCCGACGAGTTTCTCGCCATCAAGGGTGTACCTGCTGTGGTGGGGGCTATCGACGGCACGCACATACACATGAAAGGCATGGAGGGACACAGACAGGAATACTACACCAGGAAGGCGGCGTACGCCGTGCAATTGCAAGTGACGTGTGATGCGCGCAGCATCATATGGGACTACCTGATCGGATACCCCGGGAGCCCACACGATCAAAGGGTGTTCATGAACAGTGCGTTACAAGAAAGGTTGCACAACGGCGACATAGTGCCTTATCAAATCGTGGGGGATGCCGCCTACCCACTCAGAGATTTCTGCCTGACCCCACTACATGCGCCCCGTGAGGGCCTAATGGAAGACTGGGAGCAGTGCTTCAACTACTGCCAGAGCGCAACGCGCATGGCGGTAGAGCGCTGCATCGGCGCCTTCAAAGGCAGATGGCGGCTATTCGCGGGCCGCAACGACTGCAAGCTGTGGCGGGTGCTCGCAGGCGCGTCTTGCTCCGTCATCCTGCACAACATGTGCGAAACAATGGGTCAGGTGAGGCGCGTAAACATGGTGTGGGCAACCTTGCCCCGAAACCGGGACCCATGGTGGACACGTGGCGCGGTCGCCGATTTCAAGTGGGAGTCGTGCGTCCCTTGAAATCAAGCAACGCTGAAAGAGAGGCGCAAGAGGCTGGGGGAGGCGCTAGAGGCGTCGTACCTTACTCGGCGTCGCCGCGAACCCGCACCTCCGCGTCCGCATCCGGGTTAGCAGCGCCGTCCGCCGAACCCCCGCGACGGAGCCATCCGTCGTCACCGCCTTCGCCGGCGTTGGTAGCGGGCTGGGCGTCAGCGGCCGCGGGGACGTGGTTGCGCGTCTGTGCAGTTGCCGTGGTTTGCTGCAGCCGTTCGCGTGCAATTCGCTCATCCTGCTGCATCCAGGCGCGGGCGAGGCCTTCGAGCTTGTTCATTGCGTCCGTGTGGCATCCCTTGATGGTGTCGCAGACGAGCTTGGTGGCGGTCATGGTTGCTGTCTCCGCAACCCGCGGGCGCTTGGAAGTAGGAGTACACTGCGGAGGGGGGGCTGCACAGGCAATCACATGGGGGAGTGTGGATTATGCGGAGTATAATCTATGATGCCAGTGTTGTAATACGTCTCGTTCATATAACACATGAAACATTTTTTTACTCCTCGTTCAAACACAACAGACAACTCACCTGAAACCGTGAAACCACACGGCACATTGACATGTGTTGCACCTCCTCCGTCCACGGCGTGCGGGTTGGCGACGGCACGATTGTGCTGGTAGAGCTCCATGTACGGGAACCACGGCGGCTTGCACACCGCACCCTTGCCGGATGCCTTCTCCCCTTTCTAAAGCTGCTTGTAGATGCAGACAAGATTGCGCCATTGCTTCTGCACCGCGTTGGAGCCGCGCACCCATCCCGTGTTCTCCTTCTCGATGTGACTGACGAGGCGAGCCCAATACTGGGAGCCTTGCTTGCCGACGAGTGGCTCGAGCTCGTCCTTCATGAACCAGCGCGCGACCACCAAGATGGTGCTCTCCAGGTTCGACCAGCAGGTCCGCTTCTTCGGGACGTGGGTTCGGGTTTTCGGAGCAGGGCGTGCAGGATCGCCACCCTTTGCGGCGGTCTTGACGCTGGAAGCAGACTTCGGGCGACCGCGGCGAGAAGTCGGAGCAACGGGCTGGGTCTCCTCAGGTGCTTCCTTGTCATCGTCGGCGGCGTCATCACCACCAGCGTCGTCATCGGAGTCGGACATCCCCTTGTCCTCCTCTTCGCCCGAGTCCGCCTCGTCGTCGGTGCCCTCGGCGCTCTCGTTGTAGTCGCTGTCGGCGGCGTCATCACCATACTCGTTGTTGTCGACGCCGGGCGAAGATGCGACCCTGTCGGCGTCACGGCGTCCGCGCGTCGGGACGTCACGCGGAGATTGGTACGGGGTGGCTCCCGGGGAAGGGATTCCCTCAGGCAGCGGGCCACCGGGCTTGCGCCCCGCGATAAGTTGTTTGTTAATCCACGCGATGTACGGGATCTCGTTGACATCCTGCGGGCACTCGGTCCCTGACTTCCGCTTACGAGCCATGGCTACAGAAGGATGAAGTCCTAACAAACGTCACCGGAAAACAGAGAAGAAGAGATTGGATAACAGATCTTGGCACGAGATGAAGAAGAGATTGGAGAAGGAGGGATGCACGGACAGAGGACGGGATGGTGGGTGGGGTTTCGCGGGTAGGTTGGCGGGAAGGTGGGGAGAGGCCACCGTCGTGATGTCGTCCGGGCATGGTGGTTGTTCTTCCCGCTCAAATCTGTCACATATTCGGGCGTCCATATGCATGCAGTCGGGCTGGCCAAATGTGTGACATTTCGACACGCGTGCGATATGTTGGAAGTGAAGGGGCCTCGTACTACTCGTCCGCGACATTTCTGCATTACACGCTGACCAATGTAAAATACAGTAAAAATCGCACTAGGGCGATTCGCGTTTGAGACATTGTACGTTATATGTTGTTTTTACGCGTCACAAACGCTTTGAGACACAAATGTCCAGGCAGGACTGTACCCTAACTCCAGGAATGTCTATTACCGTCATCGCCCGGATATAAGACACATACGGTATGTCTTATCTCGTACACGGGCAAAAATGCTTGGGTTGTTTTGTATTTGGGACGGTTTAGGGTGTCTTATAAGTCTTGTAAATGGACAAAGAACCGTTTAGAAGATACCCCCTCGTTATACAATTGCCCCTAACCCCTACAGTGGCTTAACTCGTACACACAAATAGGTGTCTTATAGTGAGGCTACCCCGTTTATAAGAGACACCCGGATAATAGACACCCCCTGTCTTCTATTCAACACTGTCTTATATCCGGGTGATGATGGTAATAAAATCAGCTAGCTTCACACATATACAGCATCTAAAACACAGAAAGAGCTCCTACACTAGCGCACACATGGGTGCCCTGCCCACTATCTTTTATCCAAGAGTACCCTCCAAATTACGGAGTGACTCCAAAATCTACACACTATGGGCAATTCTGAATTACGGTAACTGCAAGAGTTTATTTACCAGACACCATCAGCTAGCAGGTCTTTAAGGCTGAGGAAATCCGCTCCTGCACACATGTCAAGCAGCGAATGGTTGCACTCCAGCAGCCCATCAAGGTGAGAGAGGTGGTTCGCTGCAGCAGCGTCAGAGCTATTAGTTGCAGGAACACCATCAGCACCACTGCCGGGAGTACCATCAATGCCAGTAGCAGCAGCAGCAGCAGCAGCAGCATCAAGGCAGTCAGGAGCATTATTGAGGTCAGCATGGGTCGCACCCAAATCCTCTGACCCATCAACACACGAGCCACCACCTGCAGCAGCAGCACCACCAGCAGCAGCAGCAGTCGGGCAGGTTGGAAGCGGTTGAGATGGAAAAGGTCGCGATGGAGGAGCGGGTGTGGGGAGAGGGTTATCGGCTAGAAGCTTCTCCAGGTGCTGATACAGAGCAGTGGCTGCTGCTGCAGTAGCAGCACCACCAGTACTAACATCAGCTGCAGCAGCAGGAGGAGCAGCAGTAGGAGCAGCAGCAGGAGCAGGAGAAGGAGCAGCAGCAGCACGAGCAGCAGCGGCAGGAGCATGGGGTAGAGCCGCTGCTGCTTCAGTGATAATCATTCCATCCACCTCACCGGAACCAGGTGGTAACCAGGCCCACGGATCCGTTACATGACAGTCGTCCGTCATAGGATCATGCTCAGCCGGAGAGTCTCGATCTGGACCGATTGACTTGCCAGCTGGCTCGTTTGCATCCTCGAGTGCCACGTCAGCAGCTGCTGCCAGCTCAGCAGACGCTGCCAGCTCAGCAGCAGACACACACCTGCCTAAAACGGCCTCGTTGCCAACGGTAGTTCCGCTCCCCGAGCGGCACGGCTTGACGGGACTTGCAGCAGGGCTATTGAGCGTTGGGTGGCAAAGGCTCATTAGCAGCGCGTGAAGGGAGACAACCGGGCCGGTGGGTGGGGTTGGAAGGGAGGCAGGGGGAACAGCAGGAGCTGCAGCAGCAGGAGGGGTGGCGGAAGTAGCAGCAATAGAAACTGAAGCAGCCGGAGCAGCAGCAGCAGCAGCAGCAGGAAGAGGGGCAGGGACAGCAGCAGCCGGAGCGGCTGTAGCCGGAGCAGCAGCAGGAGGAGCAGCAGCAGGAGGAGCAGCAGCGTTTGGGGATTTATGGGGGGAGAGGGAGGAGTGGACGGTGCTAGAAGCAGTCATGCTGCTGGTCTCAGTCATGTCTGGAAACGGGGTTACCACCTGGCCTTGCAGCTTCTCGGATAGCAGCTTCAGGAGGAGGCTGATGCTTGCAGCGTTGGGATCCGTGGCAGTGGCGGGAGCAGTAGCGGCAGCAGGAGTGGCAACAGGAGTGGCAGCGGAAGGGGCGGCAGTAGGGGCAGCAGGAGGGTCGGCAGTAGGGGGAGCGGAAGGTGCAGGGGTAGGGGGAGCAGGGGCACTAGGGCCGGCAAGTGCAACGGGAGCAGTTGGGGCAGCAGAAGCAATGCTCTTCGCGTTTTGAATCTGCTGCTGCTGCTGCTGCTGCTTCTGATTTTGTTGCGCTCTGTGTTGCTGTAGCAGCAGCAACTGCTGCAGAATCTGCTTATTCTGCTCCTCCTGCTGCCTCTGCTTTTCCTGCTGCTGCTTCTCTTGCTGCTGCTGCTGCTGCTGCTGAAGCTGCTGTTCCCTCAACATTCGTTTTTGCTCCCTCTCTTCCTCCTCCCGCTTCTGCTGAAGCAGCAGCTGTTGCTGTTGTTTCTGCTGCTGCAGTTGCTGCTGCCTCTGCAGTAGCTGCTGCTGCAGCTGCTTCTGTTGCTGCTCCCTCAACCTCCGTTTCTGCTCCCTCTCTTCCTCCTCCCGCTTCTGCTGCTGCTGCTCCTTAGTGTTCTGGCCTCCCACCTCCTCCTGCCGACCCCCTTCCTTCTGCTGCAGCAGCACCTGATATTTCTTCAGCAGACCCAAAAGTCTCTCCCTCTCCTCCTCATGCTGCCGCTGCTGCTGCAGCCGAATCTCCTCCTCTTGCTTCTGCTTATTCTGAGCCGCAATCGCCACTGCTGCAACGACCGTCGCCAACGCCACCAGCGACTGCTCGCGATTGCCACCACCAATCTGGTTACCACTGTCGCTGTGGTTACCACCAACACTTCGGTTATCCACTTCGCTTTGGTTACCAGCGTTACCACGGCTGCCAGCGTCACTGCAGTTCCCAGAACCAGAATTAGGGTTACCACCAGCAGTGGTTACATTTTGCAACCGACTGAGCTCTGCAGCAAGCTTCTCCATACTCATTTCCGAGCCTAGTGCCGAACCAAGTGCCGAACCTAGTGCCGAACCTAGCGCCGAGTCCAAGGCTGTGGTTACAGCGCTGGAGTGGTTACCCCTTGGCGAAGCGGCAGAGGAGGAGCTTGGGTACGCGGGAGGCAGCTTGGCGGAAGACTGGCGGGCGGGCAGGCGCGCGGGGAGCGCGGGGAGCAGGCGAGGGGAGACTCCGCTGCTGCTTCCGCCGGTTCCGCCGGTTCCGCAGCTAGGCGGGGAGAAAGCATTCGCGGAGAGTTGCGCGCGCGGAGACGCCCGGGGAAAGCCAGCTTCGCGCGGAGCTCCCCCCGAACTTCCCCCGCGCGGGCTTACAAACAGCGGAGGCGGAGCGTGCGCACGGGGAGAGGGGAGCGGAAGCTGTTGCGCGGAAGAATACCCGCTCGTGGGGGTGCTGGCAGGCGGGGTAAACCCGGGAAATTCTCCTTTAATAACATCCCCGCTATTGGCGGAAACACCCGTTGGAGTGAAAGCGAGGCTAGGGCTTGGAAACGCATCCCAAGACGCGGAGGAGAAGCTCGCGGCGGCAGTGCCGGCGGGAGACGCGGAGGCGACTCCACGTGGCGTGATGGGACAGCGGCGAATCGAGCCGACGGTGTGGGGGCCGCAGGGGGAGACGAAGCGCGAGTCGGTGCGAGCGCCGGGAACGGCGGCGGGCGCGCTGCTGACGTGGCCGGTTTCCGCGGCTGGAAGAACGAGCGGTTCGGGGTCGTCGCCTGTGACTATATCGAAGTCCGTCTGAAGTTGAGTCAGCTTCAAACGGCACTTTTTCGCCTGCAGGGGACTTGAGAACACTGCCGTCGCTTCGCCTGCTGTTGCCGTCCGTCGGGGCGTGACAGGCGCCGTGTCGAGCGCTGAACTAGTCGCGTTGACCTTAACGTTGACGTTGACGTTGACGTTAGCGTCTGTCGTGATTGGCGTCAGCGGCGCGGCCGACGGGCTCAAGTTGCCGGATTCCGTCATGCGAATCGGCTCGCACTCGCTCTTCGGCTGCTGCTGTTGTTGAGGCTGTGGTTGACGGAAAACGTTAACGTTAACGTCGTCATTGGCAAAAGTCGCGGAGCGTCTCAATCCCTGCTCCTGATTGGCTGCGCCGACAGGAGACCACACCGTCAAACCCTCCATCGAGCCGGCGCGCCTTTTAGGCGCGGAGAATCGTTTCTCCTCCACACCGTTATACGCATACTCGTTAGTGTCGCATCCGCCTTCACTCATACTGCTCGACCGCTTATGGCCAGGCGAGATGACAGCGGATCCAGCAGCGTTAACTTGGTTCCTCGACGGTGATTGGCTCGTTTTCTCTTGAATCGGCTTCTCCGAGTCGCAGGCGTTTCCGGGCTCACGCGGCTCCGTCATGTCGCAGTCCTCCGCGACGTTCGAAGAGGGAATCGCGGCGGATATGGCGGCGGCGACGGGAGCGGAGATGCTAACCGGGTCCTGCGGGTTCCACCGATTGCGGATGCGGCGATACGAGGACGGGAGCGCGCCGGACGCGCCAGATGCGGTGCCGGATGCGGCAGCCGCGGAGGCGGAAGGCGGAGACGAGTTCTCGGGCTGTTGCTCGCTGGGGGACTTTCCGCCGGCCGCGCCGGCAGATTTTCCGCGGAGGTCCTTGGGCATTGCGCCGGTTTCCGCGTGGTTGTGCGCGCCCGAGTATTGCGTGCGCGAGTTGAGCGGATGATCCGGATTAACGTCGACCACTTTCTTCGCGACGCACGGCACCGCCGCCTTAGACCACGCGCACTTGTAGTAGGATCTGCGCGCGGGGGAGGGGAAAACGGAAGGAGGGGAGAGCGGAAGGAGGGGGGAAGCGGAAGGAGGGGAGAGGGGGAGTGAGGCAGATAACCCATGAGACGACTCAGCGCGGCGGGGGCGCGGGGCGGCGGGGCGGGGGGGGGTGAGGGGTGAGAGGGTGCCACCGAAACAGAGTCATGGTATTATGAGAATAATTTGTAGGGATTTAGTTCGTATGTACATGCAGATTACTAGTTAATGGCGCTGCCGCGTAAGCGGATCGCGAAGCCTTACCGGAGAAGCGACTTCTCGGTGACGCGCTTCTCGCCATACTTCAGCCAGCAGTAGCCGTCAGCGTGGACGATTTCCGTCAGACGCGCCGCGGCTCGGAGCAGCAAGCCGTCTTGATGAACCTTCCTCGCGGAGGCGTTCGGCGACGGAAGCTGCGCCGATTGCGGCGAAGCGTTCGCCATGTTCGCCTGAAGGCCCGCTGAAGCGGCGCCGGCGCCGGCGGAAGCGGAAGCGGCGGCGGTGAGAGTGGTGGCGCAACTTCCGGCGATCATGGTGGAGCTCGCCGAGCCGCCTTGGTTTTGAGCGGAGCTGCTGCGAACGGCACTATGATTCTGTCGTCCACGATGTTCGCGAGCATGATGGTAACCAGGCTCGTGCGAACGATCGCTCATCGCGGTGTCTGTGTCCTTGAGACAAGCGGCCATGGCCGCCGGAATCTGAAGTTGATGGTGATGTTGGCGCTTTGCCGATGTTGACGCTGATGCGGCAATGACGCTGACGACGACGCTGACGACGACGGGACAGTACCGTTGGAACGATTTGTTGATAAATCGCCAGCGTCGGGCTGGAAATGGTTGTTCGCTCCGACTCGGAGTCACAGTCTGATCGCGCACGCAGCGGATCGAGTGGAGAGCACGACTTGGGAGGAGAGGGGGGTGGCTTTTTCTGGCGGATCTTGAAAGTGGGAAAACAGGCCCGCAGCAGCGGCGATGGCGCTTGCAGTGTAAAGCTTGAGTTGCAGTGGTGATACTGTAACGACGGGTGTATGTCGCTCCAAAGAAGAGATGTAAGAGCTGATGGTCGGTCGAGTGAGGTGAGCGGACGTGGATGCCGGCGTGAGAACAGGACGTTTCACAGCTGGGGCTGTTGAGATTTAAAATGAGTGATGAGGAGGAAATGAGCTTCAGTACGTGAATGGCCGAAGTTCAAGTACACGTAGTCGGCGCCGCGTGTCAGAAGAGTTTGCGCTCTGTTACTTCGATGGGAGATTTCTTGATTTTTGAAACGGTTGAGTGAGATGCTACCAGGTCAGCGAAATGCGAAACGTCTTGAATGCAACAGCTGGTCACGCGAGGGGCGCCATAAACCGCCTGAAACAGAGTGACTGGTGAGAGAAATTACAGAATCTGAACTTCAAATGCGGTATTTTCCTATCCCATACTCCTCCTTCTCCCTTCTCTCAGATCAGGTGTTTTCAGTGTGTGGAGCTTTGATTTCACACGTGGGACACATTATGCGCCAGTGTGGACCAAAATGAAAGGCTTTGCAGTACAGCTTGACATAGGTGGAATTGTTTTACCAGAAGGAGATATATGGATTTCATTTGGGTAAGTGATATCGTTTGGAAAAATAAAACATTGGTTCGTTATGAGAGGCTTCCTCCACTCCACTCCAACCAATGCATCTGAGGACAGCATCTACCAGTGGATCATGAGGAGCTAGCCTGCCCTCACACCTGAAAGTCTTCGGATTTGGCCAGCAGAGGCCAGTGGAGAGGACGAGGGGAGGCACCAAACCAAAGGCTCTGGTCTGGGGCTAGGTTCCAGAAGAATGTGAGTTGCGGTCTGGTCAATTGGCAGGTTCTGAAAAGGATTTCCCACGCATGCGCAATCGCAATCCGCGTTGTTGATGTACAGTACAGTCGGTCGTGAAGTTTATCGGACATGCGGCGGAAATGAATGTGGTGGAGTTTTGTTCTCGAAATGTTCCAAGAGGGGTGCGGACGGTGCGGAGAGAAGCATTCAACTCATCCCAGTGACACAGCCCCCTCCCCGCCCAACCTTCCAATCCAAGCCTGCCTTGCCGCACTTTCACAGTTGTCTACTTCGTGCGCGAACGACCGTCTGCCAATTGGAGAGCTGTCAGAGGGGCGACGAGATGTCTGGCGAGAGCTGTACGACACCGATCGTCGCCGACGGATTCTCCTTGTCAGCCAATTTGCTCGTCTGGCAAAGCTGGCAGGCACATGAAAGTGATGAGTGAGCGCGGGGGCATGGAATGGAGGGATCTCATCGACAAATCAAAAGCTCAACGCCACCAGCAAAGGGTTTGGCTTGGGGAATGGACGGTGTGTAGTGGTTGAGAAAAGGGGAGAACCAGATGTGGGGTGTGGGAGAGGTGCGGCGGGGCGGCGGGGGGAGGAGCCGGGGGAGGGGAGGGGTGGGGATGGGGGGAAGAAGGGGGAGCGGTGAAGGGGGTTGGCCTAGGGGAACGGGAGAGGTTGCGTTGCGGGAAAGGACGGCAAGCAAATTGTTTTGTGAGGCTCTGTTCCATTGTTCCGTTCGTTCGGACGAATGTACTGTAACAGTACGTGGTGTCGTTCGCTTCGACCCGACGCGGTACACTGGGAATCCGATGTTTGCAGACAGACGAAGTGAAATGCGAACTAGGGCGCTGCACTGGGGCACCCTGGATCGAGTCCCCTGAGGTGGTGCAATGGAGGGCGGCCAGTGGGCTGCCTCTTCGCCCTGGCCCGACCAACCATAGTTGTGCTATTGTCGTAGGAAATTCGGCTGTAATTCAGACATCGGTAGCCATTGAAATGCGAAATGGAAAGTCTGAGAAACCCCTCACAAAAATACTGAGAGTTCGCAGCGTCTGGTGGATTTCGACCCACCCTGGTCGAGGATAATGCACCACGTCCTACTCGTGTTTGGGACCTTGTGTGGTGAGGTTGCTTGCGTTGCCTTGTGGTTGGGCAGGGAGCGCCTCTAGGCACGGGAGATTGAGATCAATTTATCTGGTGATTGGTCAGAATTTGCTGACTCGGAATACTGTAGAGGGGACGAGGACGGAGGGCATGTCGAAAATTGGAATAGGGGGGAGGGGAACGTGCAACGCGGCTTTCAGGTGATTTTCATTTTCTTTTGCAAATCCTGACGGTCGATCTGACACCCTTGACTCAAGACTGGCTGTCAGTCGTGCAGAAACCAGTTGGAGGGCGTATCACGCGAGTTCGCTCTCTGTTACTGTCGCGCCTGCCCTGAGATGACGAAGCGAAAGCTGTTGCAAGTTTTGTCGACCCAGCTTCACGGGGGCGTTGTTTTCCTCCCAAGTTCCAACCTTCACGACTCCAACGCGGAGGCGACAGACAAAGGTGGCGAAATGACGCGCATCGGCGGAACTCATGTTTCTCTCAATTGCATTGACCTAAATTACTCCGACCTTGCCACGTGGGCGTTTCCCTTAATTGGATGGACCGCGTTTGCGCTCGCCCGTTCCGCGCGATTTTCCCGCCCTTCCCATCCGAAATTCGGGCACCCGCTGGAATTTCGTAGAATCACAAACAGTCACGAATACATGCTTTTTCGTAACGCTAAGATTTCAACATGCGAGCGACAACTGATTGGAAAGAACACTGGTGATTTAATTCGCGCGCTAAAGTGACATGCAGCCAGTGCGTTTTGATTCTTCAATGCTGAATGACGTGCACGTTCGGTTGTGCCAGGAGCCGTTGGGGAACGCAAATTTAACGTGATACCTTTACTTAATTTCTGTTTTTCATATAAAATATAACCAGTAGTTCAAATATGATAAATTCTGTAATTAGTAATAGCTTGAGCATAACAACTAAAACAAATTTGATTGTTGATGAGATTTTAGCAGTAATATGGGTTTTATCAATTGTATGCCACTGCATTAACAATTTTGTTTTTATAAACTTTTAATTCGGAGGTTAATACTTCTATTCTAAATCTCTACCTAATTTAGAGAAAGTTAATTTTAATTTGCCTAGGAGTGACTGTTATTCTAGAGTGTTTTTATATGTTTCATGGAATAAGCTTAATACAAAGATATTATAAAACAAAAAAAAACCACAGTTTATTTGTCACGTGTTTTCTTGCGTGTATGGGATAATCCTAAAAAATATGATACAATCAACGTGCATACGAGCCTTTTGAGATAGAGATGCAGCCGCCGAAATTATCAAGAGTCTATTGCAAAAGCTGATGTGGCTTGCCACAATTACCTGGAGGATTTGGCATGATGTGGAAAGCATGATTTGGCGTGACTGTTTGTGATTCCACGAAGATCCAGGTTGAAATCGCGACTGTTTGTGATAGATCAGAACTTCAGCACAGCTGCCCGAATTCGGAGGGGAAGGGCGGGAAAATCGGGTTGGGGGCGGGCGCAGACGCGGTCCATCCAATTTAGGGAAACGCCCGCATGGCGAGTTCGGAGTAATTTAGGTCAATGCATTTGAGAGAAACAAGATTTCCGCCGATGCGCGTCATTTCGCCGACAAAGGTGTTGACAACATAGCTTTGAGATTTATTTTTTCCATGAACGGCCAGGGCCCCATTTCTTTTCGCCACTTAGGTCTGTGTAGACAATTTGATTCTTCAAAGTCAGACTTGTGTTCCGTCGAAATGCTTCTGTATACAGCAGCAAGATCGAATGAAACAGCAGGAAACTGACAGATGTCAAAGACTCGCATTCGTTGGTCACGACAATCTACTCGACTGCTGCGCTGCTTGAAAAGTCACGGCTGATTCGAGGAAACGGAATCAGATTGCACCTGGATTTGGGAAAAGGCGGTGCGCAAGATGGTCAAAGGTACAGTACATGTGTGTCTGCCAGCTGTCGGTCGGACAGACACCCTCTGTTCGGTCAGGCCCAACAAAACTGGAACCTATCTGAAAGGAGGGCTGGGTCTGTTTGCAGGTTGCAACAAGAAAGGTCATCCTGTCTTGTTCTAACTGCAACCTTTCTTTTTGTGAAGCGAGAGAGAGTACACCAGTTATTTGTTTATTTCACCAAGCGAGTTTTGGTCGGAGGTGCTTATCGCTTTTGCCAGGTGCTTTTAACGTCTTAGAGTCACATTTCTCTGCTTATTGCCGTCCCTTGCTCCCAAAATGTGACTGTAAATACGTTATTGCAAATATAGGACGGCCTGACCTAATGATACATAAATCATTTGGCATCGTCTTTAGCGCGAATGTGTGTAACTGTAGCGTTATGCCACCAATTTTCTTCAACATTTAGCAATTCAATGCTGAACTGACCACGCGTGTGATTCGATTCTATGTGACATAAACGCATTGCTTCCAACCTTCTATGTGAACGTACCGAGCAGGTGGCATAATCGCGGGTGCATCAAACGAATAAGAGGGTGTACGACAGATCAGTCACCCCTTCAGTTTTTGTCAGAATCCCAGCCACTAACCACTGGGATAAAAGG